TGGTTTGACTGCCGTGTAAAAAAAAACTCTACAATGGTGGATGTGGAAAAGTGTAGTGCTCCAAATTGTGAGTAAGACATCACTGAAAGAGATCTCGGGGAAAAAAAGGTCCGTCATATCATCTTTCACATGCTATTCTCTAACTCGGGGTGATAATCCGCTCCACAGAAGTCTGAAAGAAAATTCCTGCATCTCTTGGTGTGATGCCAACTGATAACTTAAAATTAAATTCAAACACTATAAAACTCAAATGTGCATGTGGCTGCTCACTGCCTGAACGGAAGAAAGATCCTCAATTTAATTCATTTTATGGACTAAACAATTTACTACCAAAGACAGTGCAGGATCTGCGTGATATTATCTTATCTAGGATTTTAAATAAGGCGTGCATCTATGCACATCCTGGCGGTATCGCTGAAATCCATACTGCGTCAACCACATCATTGGACTGGATGAAAACCTTTAGATTAATTTACGACGATCATTAAGAAAAAAAAAAAAACTGTTGCTTTTCACAATGCCATACAAAAAGAAGAATAATAAGGCGTTTGTCAAAGCGTTTTACAAGAATTAAAAATGGTACATTAGTCATTGGCAGATGGGGAAAAGGGATGGCGTTTGAGTGTTGGGGCTGGCAAGGAAGGGTGATGATAGGGAAAGGAGGGGCTGGCAAGATTATGGAGGAGGAAGGGGGAGGATGGTTAAGCTTTTAAGGATGTGATAGGAAGTAATAGAGCGATTTTCTGTTGAAAAAAGATGAGTCTTAAGAAAGGAACGAAATATGGTTTAGTGAAGTTGCCTGCGTGATGCGGAGTGGGAGTTTATTTCAATGGAGGGGAGCCAAGAGGGAAAGGGAGCGGAAACGTGGCTGAACACGGAGATTATGAACGCTGGGGCCTCGACGGGACATAGCAAGACGGGGTGATGATGTTGCCTTGTCCATGTCATTAGTCACAGTCGATTGCATTTTTTGGGCACTTTCAGCTTTTGTTCTATGTTTTTTTGAGTCCACGAGTTACGGCAGCTGAAATGCAATGAAAGAGAAAACATAATTCACTGCGTGCATGGATATGTTGCTCTTCATTAATTTTACAAAAGCACGCCGCCCTGTGCTTGCTTGCCTCATTTATTTTATAATTTTCTTCCTCATCCGACTTGAATAATTATTGCTCTGTGATTTTGTCCCTCCAAGATTGATTACAACCCCCTCGACAAACACAGCATGGTATAGGCACAGTAGAAGCGTAGCATCAAACAAAGATCTCTTAAAGCCTTTAATTTTACAACCAACAACAACCATCGGTCATTGCCAGGCCATTGTGCGTGCTAGATAAAGGCTTCCCAAGGCCCTGTCGATCACGTGGGTTGTTTAACCATACTTCACCACGCTGGCCAGTGAAGGGAGCACCAGGACCGGTTCGGTTACCGTTTGCCACTCATGTTCGCCATGGCAAAGAATCAAACTGAAGTCGCCAGGTTCACAGCACGTTTTGTCAATCACCGTGGCACGGCTTCACCCGATTAGGTCCAACGCGCACACAATCACGTAAATCATCCGTCGCGCACAAACGCTCAATTCAGCCTCATAATGCGTCACGAATTTGGAACGTCACAGTCTTATTATTCAACGGCGGCTGTCCACAGCTAAATGAATCGCTGAAAGTGAAAACGAACGCCAAAGCACTTAAATCCCACGAACCTAATTTTCAGTCCTTCCCCGGCCCTACGTGCTGTTCACTTCGTCCCGCTCGCCCGCTCACCGCACATCACTCAGTGCGGCCGGGTTCAGCCAGGAAATTTCGCCGACCCACTCGGCACCGGCTCCGCACGCTGACCCTTATCAGACGCCGCACCCGCACGCGCGTGCCGGGAACGGCTATACTCCCCGGGGAAAATTACATCGTTACTCCGAAAGGTCCGCGGGTGCAGGTGATGTGTAAATATTTCCATTAGCGGCCACCCTGCCATTGAGGACACGGGTACAGTGCGCTCACACTGCCTCCTCGCTTCACCCCCTGTGCCATTAAACTGCGTCTGCAAGCCTCGTAGCCCTTCTAAAGCCAGCGAGCCGTGCTCTAATCAGGTCAGGGTTTAATATTCGCGCGCACTTGTTAATGCATCCAGCTGATGTTGATTAGCTCTGCGAGTCGTATATCTACAGGCAGGCCAAGATGAAAGCAACATATTTTTTTTCTTCCTAATTCTCCACTTCGCTGGAGAGGTCTGGGCAGCACAACGCTATCCGCAATACCCCCCCACCCCCAAACCCCAAAGGCCCTTGATGATATTTCTGAAAGCATGGATGTGTAACTAAACTATGGCTGTATAAATTGTAGCCGGGGACCAAGGCAATTAACACAACGGCTCCTCTAATGACCAGGGCAATGTATCCGTGCTCTCTGTTGGGTCATAGCCAGTGGGAGATTTTGTGCACCCATCTCACACGCAGCACAAAAGCATGCCAGAGGTTGTAAGCTAATAAAAATGAAATAAACCCATGACACCATTTATTAAAACTAAAATGTCACCTTAGCCATACCTATCAGTGGCAGAGGAGACGTTGCAGTAAATTTGTCTACAAACCTGATTTGTTGAAATTCCGTCACCCAGGATTGAGTGTGATTAATGAGCAAAAGGTGCACTCACTCTGGCAATTGATGTTCGAGATAGAACAATTGACAATAACGACAGCGTTTGCATTCACACGCCGTGCCAGTGCCTGTGGTGGTAATAAAAGATCCGCGGTGTGACAGGACACAGGGATGGACTTTTCCATCTCCCCAAATTACGCTTGCTCATGCCACTACTGGAGGAATGACCTCCACAAAAGTGAGATCAAGATAACCCACCCCATGGTTATTTTGGGCCCCCTTCTTGGCTGGCCAGATGTCTTGGTGGGAACACCCACACTTTACCCCACCGTACACGGCCTGCCAAACAACTGCGGTGTGCCCATTTATACGGTTGGGTGGACAGAGGCGGAGGTGGATTAAATAAAGCAGCCCCCATTGTTTCAACTGCCATGCCGGGAGATCTAATCGAATCGGCTACCTCTGATTTGCATGTTCAGTGTGCTGCCGACCATTACACCACAGAGGGCAGCGTACCTCGAACTATATACCAGGGTCACATCGACCCTTACGAGGAAGGACGCAAATACGACAACGCGTCATCGGCCAGAAAAAAGTGCGACTGGCGGGAGATTTGCGAGCGAGTGAGTGAGCGCAACTCGGGTTCGGCTCGGCGCCGGCTTTGTGCCGCTGTGCGCCGCTTACGGACGCCAGCCTGCGGACTCCGTGCACGATTTGTGCCTCGTCACTCGTCTTCACAGCGGCTACTTCGCCGCCGCCACCGCCGCTGCCCTCCCCCCCACGTGCTCCAGAAGGCCGTGTCCGTCGCGTGGCTCAGCTCACGTGGCTCGGCTTGCATGGCTCACCGCGCGGCCAGTGGCTCGCCGCCTGATCTATATCGCCGTTCGCGTTTGACTCGCCGAGGTTAACTTCACCGAACGCGTGCGCGGGGCGTGCTTGAAATATTAAAAGTGGACGAAGCTCAAAAAACACTACTCGGGTTGCGGCCACCGCGTTAACGTTTCCGGAGAAGCGATTAAGCGTAAACGGATTTCGCCTCGCGAGGCGCGCTCGCTCTCCCGCTCGCGGTTGCCGAGCCGACCGGCTCGTCGCGAGATCGGAGCGGCGACGACGCGAACGCAAAACCGGCTGGCTCCTCGCCGGAAAAATTCACCCGGCGTGCGGAACGACAAAGCCGAGGGGTTGGAACGCAAACAAGCATGCCCTCTGCTGGCCACGCAGGAAGTCGTTGATTCCGCACCGTTTCAAAGCGCCACACGGTCCACAGCGAACCGTGTGCAGGAATGTTCCGAAGAGGCCGGGCTGACCCGTAGGCCCGCCGTGTCTCATTGGTGATTGAGCATGTGGCAAGGAAGATGGGTGGAGGTTAGCCCCACTGCAAGGTTAGCCCGACCCCATTCGTAACCGGGCACAGATTGCCGTTGAGAGATTTCACGCGGCGGGGTGAATTAATCATTCCCGAGTTAGCGCTGATAAGCGTCCCCATTACAACTGCAGGAAACCTTTTGAGCTTTTGTTGTTGTTCTTGTTATCATGGACTGTTTATTAGGGTTTTCATCAACACGGTGGACCGGAATATTAAATTCCATTGTAGGGTGTTAGCATTGAAACTGTGCTAGGTCGAGAGGGCAGACTGGCATGGTCCACTCAAATATGGGGGTGTATTCGTTTGCTAAAGATCAACAGGGCAATTTTCGGGAAAATGTTACCGGCAAATGCATTTACTATGAGCAACGGTGGCAACTTGGTATTGCTGTGGTGTCGAGTGATAAAATTCTGTCTTGCCAATGAAAAATGAGCTTGTTGAAAAGTGTGTTTGATGAACAATGATTGGTCGACAGCGCGTAACCTTGGGTCATCACGTGACCTCTGTCTATGATCGATGACGCGAGGACTGCGTTTGTATTCGCGGTTGCACTGTGGAGCTCTCAGACGTGTTTTCTGGCCGTACGCGTATCGCTTGGCACGATGTTCAACGTTTCGGTCCACGTACCGAGAGCTTCTTCGGAAATTTAATCCAGTAAGATCGCGTTCATCCTCAATTGTAACGGATCGCCGGCTCCTGCTGCTGTTGCCCCATTCTTTACTCTGATTGGGCAGGCGAGCTGCTCAATTTAGTTCCTGAATAAAGCTTTCAGCAGGTGGAGTGAAACGTCGGACACCACGCCGAACAACGCGCGCAACACAACCTGACAAAACCATCGGCGAGCTTAGTAGCTCTAAGATGTTCCGAAATTTGGAAAGCACTTTTTTTTTTCCATGGAAAAGGTTGCGGCAAATGCCGACACCGTTGCCGACCATGGCTGCCTGCGGCGGTTGACCTTAAATGGCCACGAACCCTGTCCACCTTCCTCATGCGCACCTCTGCACAGCTCTAGGCCGCTCGAGTAATGTAAGGTGCTGGCGTACCTTGAGAAGATCGCGGGGGAAGTCGCGGCCGTCATTGAGTCCAACGAGGTTGTCGATAAACTCCTGGCAGTTCATCTTCTTGCCAATGTTCTTTGGGTTCGGAGGGGAGGAGAGACAGCGCATCAGCGAGTGGTCGCAGAGATAGCCGTACGCCGATAAACATTTATATTGTATGTTGAAAAAGATGGATAGACTGAAAGACGGAGTAACAAGTGTAAGCAAGATGCAAAGATCCAGCGATGGAGGGCAGCGATTGAGAAGTATCCGTGTCGTACAACTGCTGTGTGACAACTTCACGCTAATTAATTATTATCACTTCTTGTTTATCCAGCAGGAAAGCCTCACCGAGTCTCGTGACTCTTTGCATCAGGAGGGCCCTGCCAAGATTTTGCGGTCGGGGGACGACGATTGCCAAGTGCAATCGCAATCCGATTACCGTGCGGGAAATCTTTAAAACGTGGCAAGGTTGGACAGCGCCGCTGGCACACAACGGCCTACTCTTGCGAATGACACCACAGGACTTTGAACGTCCAACGCGAACCAGATGGCGCGTATTATTAGTCTCGCACCAGGCACTCGTCCGAGACCGAGTCGGACCTAGGGGAGGCCACAAAAACCGGTTGAGATATTCGTCACACCGGTGTTGGCCGTGGGCGGGAATCGAACTCGGGTGGCCGGGGTTCGTAGCGCGGCGCACGAACCCGCTACCCCTCCCCGCTCCCCACGGAGGGGGGCAGAGGCACAGAGGGAGCAACGGTTGAAGCAAGAGATACAATTCAGCATTGCACTTACGATTTGGATGCATGAGCATGAAATAAATCAAGAGTGTTCTAATTAGGGGGGATTCTTGTTAGCTGTGCGTGGGACGGGGTGTCAAGTGCAGCAGGCGAAGTGCAAATCAGAGGAGCGCGTAGACGAATTGTGAGATGAGATGACGTCACGCGAAAGAAATGGCTCCACTTTCGTGTGGAAAGCAGCGATAAGGTCTAAGCAATGGACCCAACGATCGGTAAGATGCAACCCGGAGAACGAGCCGCTCGTAATGTGCAGTTGCGGCACACTCAGGCTGTGTGTCCTAATTTTCTTCAAATATTACTTCATATGCACAGTCAACATCATGTCGTAAGATGGAGAAATGTCCACGTGAAACTATTAGCGTGAACGGAGATAATAAAAGAATACAAATAAAACATAGTAAAATAATACAATATTACGTATTATGTTTTATTTTAATTATTTTATTATCTCCCTTCTACGTGACTTTACCGAAAGAACCAAGAAGATGAATCCCTGCAGTCACAAAAGCTTTAAATCGAAATTTATTAGCGTGAAGTCAATTACCTTGTGTTAGAGGATGATTCACAGAAGTGAATATGACAGAACTTCAAAGATTCCTTCAGGCGACCCCCTCTCCATAGACGTATCATCACAAGGCAGTTCAAATAATGCAAACAATTCTCCGAGGTGGAATCTTGCCGAATTAATCTTAAAACCATAAACCACGCGATGGCACAATCTCAGCCATCAGTCACTGTCAGGCATGCTCTGGCGACATCACTTGAGGTCTGATCGCAGTACTTTCATTAACAGCTAAGTCACATAGTAGCCGATCTCGTCAAGGGACGTAAAGCATCATGCAAACTCCAGTCATCCTCGCAGCAGCTTTTGGCTAGCCATCGAACGAAGACGATCACTGCATCGCACGCTTTCGGATGCGCTCCTGCGGCCATCTGGAATGCTCTTCCTTCCGAGATTAGGAAGCCACTGGAGGTATGCACTTTTAAATAATCTAAATTGAAAACTCATTTTTTTAAACTGCTTTTTGTGTTTAGTTTGTTGTCCTTCCCCCGCACCGATTAGCACGGTTGGCTATATACGGTGCGAAAGAAGTTCAACGTACGTACGTACATACATACAAGGCATTGTGGGAGCCGGTAGCACTAAGCCGACGTAATTCGACGCGCACCAGGAAAACTCAAGCCCACGACGACCGCATTCAATCTGGAAGCCGAGCAGCCCCAATGTGACGGACGATTCAGGAGAGTTTTTATTTCATAGATGACAATCGCTGGTCGGGGCGACTCTCGGTGGTGAGTGGACTCCGCCAGCACTGCTGAAACCCTGCATGTGTAACCGTTGCTTTGCATCACTGAATGCCATGCAGTGGACTTACTTGGATACATCAAGGGGAACTACGTTAAGTGTTAATACCTCCCTAACATTTTCCTTGATTTAAACCACGGGCTGCATTTGCTCGTCCAGTCTACGCGAGTGGCGTAACACAAAGTACACATTACGCTCGCAGACTCGCCAAACGCACGCGTTATCGGTAATCTAAAGTTAGACATCAAGGCTTTAATGCAGGCGATGAACAGAAGCAAAACACAGCGCTAACAATGAAATACGCAGCCGTATACATAATTTGATCCATTGTGCTTAAGAAAAAGTCATATTAATACCATTGTGAAATATACTCACGGGTCCATGCAAATCCGTATTCAGCAACATCAGGGCACAAGTGAGCGTGTGAACTCCGTCTGTTGAATAATTTCGCAGAGACGGAATAATCAGGGACGAGAACAAACGACGCCGGCGGAATTCCCTTTAAAAAAAAAAAACGACAGCATTCAAGCTGGAAAATTTAAGCCCGACTGATGTATCCGTTTTTTCATTCAAACCTGGAAGCTCATGCCACTTTTGGCGGCCAAATACACAAAGCACAGTAAATTTACACAGCAAACGCATAGCTCGAGCGAGCAACAGAATACGCTATGCATTATGTATCTGAATGTAAATTGAGTTTGGCTCCAGAGGACAAATGAAGGAAGCAAGCACCGGCCTTTGCCATGGCAAATTTTCGGTGAATTGCCCTTTTGACTGCGAAGACACGGAGGCTGACAGGGCGAGTATAAAATTGGCGCCACTTACGGAAGGTGTCAATTTTACAATCATCGGAGATTAAATCAAATATTCGCTGCGTTGAGGCGGGCGGGGATGGTTCGGAGGTCAAAGTAATGAGCTGGCGTCTGAGGCTTAAAATTCTGGGTGCCGATCCAGGTAGACACCGGTGATTAAACTGGGTCCTCAAGTGGACATAGTCGATGGTCTAAATTGTTTTTTATTAATTATGTGGCGATGCTGCTGCGTTGGCAGTGGTGCACAATCAACAACAAAAACTGGACACGTTCATCAATAACGCTATTGTGGTCTTAAAAGGAACAAAAATCTTTACAATAGGTGACGTTTCAGCCAACGAACCTTCTTAATGGCCTGTAAATAGAGAGGCCAGAAAAAAGAGTGGATAGGCGTTGGAGACTGCACTTGAAACCATGGGGCCTGGCAAAATAGAAATGTTAAAGATGTTTTCTGATGAACATTGTTTTTTTATATTTTCACTTAAAAAATATTGTTAAATGCTTAATTTGGTTGCATTGTGGTTCTGAGAATAACACTGCGTTGATTTTCACGCAACAACAGTGGCGGTGTGAGGAGGAGGTGCTATCTCCCACGGTGAGGACCAAATGATTGGATCGCGAAGGTCGCTCGGCAAGGGTCTGCTTCCTTGGAAAAATTCTCCAACGCTCAAGGTTTGCTTTTCTCTCTGCCAGAGTGTCTAAATAGATTTTATTTTTGTTCATCACGTGGCATGACACCGATAGCACAATCTAAATAAAAGCGGGTGAAAATTACAACAATAATTAAGAAACCTAATCACGTAAGAATTAGCGATGAATGTGTTGGATTAACACGTAGGGCTTTCGCGACCAATATTCTCCATAATACAGGGGTTTTCTGGCTGTCACCTGTTGAAGCTGGTTGTAATTACCAGCGAAACGTCGTGCTCTAATGGCAAATGTTGTGGTTTTTACTCTCCACACACACCGGTGTGTTGGTGTTGTACAGGTGATGAATTGGCATGTTTTCAATACGTGACAAATCTTACTAATCGGCCGTGTCCCGTGGTGGCGGTTTTAGCGACACATTTATATTTACGCAATTTAACAACAACAAAAAACCCCTCTGTTATGAATGTGTTGGAGGGAGTTCTCATGACTCACTGGCGGAGCACAGCCCGAGCCCCTAACCCAGTGGTTCTCAATCGGGGGGTACGCGGACCCTTGGGGGTACGTGGCAATGTCGCAGGGGGTTCTGCGAGGTGATTTATAAACGTGTAAAATCATATCATAGGTGAGAATCATTGGTGAATAATCATGTATAAATCTGCCAAAATAATAACTACGATAACATTTTAATCCACGTGTTAAGCTCGAACGATATAAAAGACCTTACTACGTTAATTGATCGTCAACAACGTTGTTTCCAAGAGCAACCAGCGAGAGCGAACAAATTAAGTGACGCGTGCAGAGCGTGCGTTGTATTTATTTTTTATTCGCTTGCAGGTTACTTAGCTAGTTAGGGCACCTCACTAAATGGACAATTGGTTAAAATATTGATGTTCATTATTCGTACATTCATTTCTCAGAACGACGTTGGGTCAAGCAGGGGGGGGGGTTGTTAGAGTAGTAGCCAAAAATGTGAAAACCACTGCCATAAATGAGGGCGCAAGCAACGCTCACCGAATCTTTAGTAACGGCTGCTCTTTACCGGAGAGCCAAATCGCAGGCGCGGGCGTCAGCAGACGGCACCCGGGCAAGCGGTAAACCCCAGGGTGCAACCCGCCCCCCCCACTGACACGTGACCTTTGGTGTATGTATTTTTTAAATAAACGAAGGCGGTTCATTTTACGGGCCTGCCACTATCCGTCACGCGCGTGTGACCTCCCGCCGCTCGGAAATACATTCGCGGCCGCTTCCGCTCGTGAAAAATGTGGCAGGGATTTGAAACTAATGCGAACATAAAAAAAAAACAACCACTGCGGATGACACATCAGAGTATTTTGTGTGGCAGTGCTCATAGAAAAGTACATTCCGCAAAGGACTGCAGGTCCCAGCTCATTACCGCAGGGTGTACGGCAGAACAATTGCTGGCGGACATAAAAAAACGAAAGGGCGTCTGAACAGGGCTCCTGCGGGGGTGTTACGGGCAACAGCTACGAAATAAATCAAACAACCCGCTTACACGCACACACACAAAAAGATCCCCCGTATAGCCTGAGCAGACTGTTGGGGCAAGTGCTGTTAGCGAGCACCTATGAAGGCTGGTACGGCACACGAGGGGGGGTGGGTGGCCAACGTCACGCCCGGCCGCCTTTGTCTCCCTAGTGGCGATGTTTACACACTGCACCAGGTACTCATTTGAGGCTGAGTCGACCTAGGGGAGGCCCGGGACCGGTTCACATAATCATCACTGGTGTTGGCCATGAGCAGGAATCGAACTCGGGCCGCCGGGTTTGTAGCGCAGGGCGCTAACCGCTCCACTATCGCTCCCTACACGCATGCACACATACCCATGCACACCCCACACACACACACCTAACACACACACACCCCACACACACCACACACAGCATGTGGACATAAACGAAAACACGACGTACTATACATGGCAATGAAAAAACAAACCGCGTACTGTACAATGACGTGGGAGTCTGTCGCGTGCGTGGCAATTTCATGGTGCCGCGTTGCACGGAGGGTGAGAATTAAAACACGAATTTACCTAAACCCACGCAGGGCTCTTAAATTCCAATCGGACGGCCTTGGATTTTTACTGAAAATTCAGATGCGTGATTGCATAGCAATTAAAACATTTGCATCCTATACTTCATAATCTGCAGAAGTGTTTAGGTAAGCTTTCACTCATTTTATTAAAGCATGGTTTAAACCGATTTCGATTTATTGGTCTGGCCAAACCTTTATGTAAAGTATAAAAAACGTGGTTTTATTTTTGACTTAAAACTTTCGTGACTGCAGGAATTCATATTCTTGGTTCTTTCGGTAAAGTCACGTAGGTAAAAAATAAAAATGAATAAAAAATAAAATAAAAAATAAAAGCAAAAAACCCACGACGTTTCTATCGCAACACACGCGGTCTTCATCAGGCGGAGAGAATAGAGGGCTGGGCCTCCAAATGCAACTGCTTACAAGGGTTTTATTCACATTAAAATTATATAAGTCAAAAACGCCTCTTCTAAAAAAGAGTATTAAGACTCAGTAAGGCTTTTCCCGGGTATATGAAAGGAATTCATATTATTTTTGGAAACTAAGCACCACAATAATATTTGATAAATATTGGAGTGTTTCTGCTTCATATTGAAGTGGTCAGTGATGTAGCACCATACATATCCAGCCATCTTTATACTGGTAGGAACCCACTGGTTCCACCAGCCCACAGGGGATTATTGTGTCCGTCCGTCGTGCAGGGAGGGGCTGGGTGGGGAGGGAGGGGCTGGGTGGGGAGGGGAGGGTGGGGAGGGGCTGGGTGGGGAGGGTGGGGAGGGGCTGGGTGGGGCTGGGTGGGGAGGGGCTGGTCACCCCGTGGTGCCCTTAAAAAACTCAACGTTTAACCTACTCACGCTGACTTGTGCCCGCCCTCACAGTCGGGCATATTTGCCGAGCAACCCAACGTTCCTACCAGCTCCCTCCGCAGGAATGTGTTTTATTCTCATACAGGACAGAAACCAGGTACTCAAAGGAGGCTTAGTTGAATTGACGGAGCTCCAGAGAAAGAGTCCAATTGCTACCATGCATGGCCAGTCATCATACACTGTGGATCACAGGGATTGTGAGCGCAAAATGCAATCTACTGACAACTACTCCCCACCAAACAAACAAAAATACAAAGTCAAACATTCCCCTCCCTTTCAGCCTATAGACAGAGGGTTAAATATTGTTATTGAGCAACTGTTAATACATGAACTATAGAGCGCAAAGGGTGGTGAGGCTAGCACCAGCCCAACAGCCTTTGACTCCACAGTGCTGATGTTTACCACCACACAAGTCACTCATTTGAGTTGACCTACTGTGGGGGTCTAGGATGAGCCTTGGACATTGTACGTGAGAATGGTGGCACAAGGCACACAAATCATTACACCAAAGACAAAGATCCCCCGTATAGCCTGCACAGACCGTTGGGGAAAGTGCCATTTGCGAGCACCTATGAAGGCCGGCACAGCACACGAGGGGGTGGGTGGCCAGCACCACACCCAGTCGCCCTTATCTTTGAAAGGGCGATGTTTACAAACCGGACTTAGTACTCATTTGAGGCCGAGTGAACCTAGAGGAGGCTCAGGACCATTTCAAGCAATGGTCACTGGTGTTGACCGCCGGGTTCGAAGGGCAGCGCGTTAACCACTGCACCGCCGCTCCCAAACATGCGTCAAGTGCACACACACGCGCACACGCGTAGAGAAACAGCGTTCTCACCCTCTGAGGGGACACCGTCGGGGTTGCACGTGTGGTAGCGTCGGGAGAAGTGCACGAGCACCCGCTCGCGCTCCTGTGTCTCCCCCATGAGGGCGAACGCCTTCAGAAACATCCTGCGAAGGGGGCGCAAGCACAGACACACACACACAAGGCAGAGAACGTCAGCCACAACCACAGCTCACGTTGTGTCTTCCCACGGCACGTCGTTTACTTTTATTAATGCTATTTTCTTTTTTTACCCAGGAGAGCATCACTCGGTCTCAAGACAAGAGGGTCCTGCCAAGTGTTTTTTGCAGTCGGGGGTGATGTTGCTGGTTATGTGTGTGTGGTTCCAATTGAGTAAGTTGCACGGTAATGTTTACGAATTGGGTTGTTTTGGCCAATACCGGTTACACTGTGGGGGCCATTGACTGTGCCGGAGACTGATAAACTGAAGCTTTAGGAGGAAACCCACGGCGCCGAGATGTTGACTACCTCGCCTGGTATACAGGAGGTCGTGAGTTCGATCCCGACCCCGACACCTGCATATTTGAGTTTGCATGTCTCTCTCTCCTCCTGGTTGCATGGGTTTTTATCCGGGTCCTCTGGCTTTTCCATCCTAATTTAGAAATACACGTTTATAGTATTTGACTGCTATCCATTTCTACATGATAATCCACTTTGTTAAGCTATCATTTGTGAGCAGGTCGCTTCTGACAAAGATCTATATAGGTCAGTGGGCCTTACCTGGTAATATACACATTTATAATAGTTTAAAACCCATGCAGAACTGGGGGCAGAATATAGAAACTCCACGCAGAAAAGCACCCGGGTCAGGAATCGAACCCAGACACATCTTACAATGCGACAACAGGGCCTCCCTGGGATAATTAAACCGGCCGAAAACATCTACATTCGTGCTAAATAATGAAAATGTCACTGTTACGATAACCAACTTAATAAATAACTTCGAACAACGTACAGAATTATAATCAGCATTATTAAGTGCTCCAGCAATTTTGCAAACATCAGTGACACAATGTCTGAATTTGGTTCAATACACATTATATCCTACAGGCGCCACATAAACCCATTATATAGAGCATATAGGAATTTTTTAATCAATTACTTCCACACAATATTTAATGTATTATTGTGAGAATATTAATATAATAATTAATGAACGAATCATACCTAATAACTACGCACGATATTTGTTTCAATAATCAATGTGTAACATCGTGGTGAATGTAGCAGCTATATGGGACACGTAAGCCCAATAACGTATGCAATTTGACGACTGTCAGCAGCTTAAGAATATTTTTTACTAAGGCATGAATTTACGAATCGGGAGCACCGTTCAGCACACACACGAACTGCAATCTAAACACAATGGCAAAAAGCTGCAGACTATGCAATTACCCGCGGGAGCGATTTCTGTCGTGATAAAAGCAATGCAGTCACGTGCATGAACACAGTGTGGCCACCAGAGGACACCACACTCTCAGGCAACGGCAACCCCAATGGCATCGCATTTGCAGGGAGTGAAAACTGGACTGCAACGTGATCACAAGGTGGCTTTGAGAGAGCCCATTGTTGTCGCTGTGGCGGGATCAGTGTCGGATTTAGGCATATTAATCACTGACCTTGGGAATCAGTTTGCCGGTAGTAAGAGGCGATGACTGCTATGCACGGCGTAGAGCCCAAACCGAGTCGTGTGTGTTACTCAGCACTTTGTGTTCCAGGCAACAAAGTCTACTTTTGTTAAAATGTCCAAATGGGATGCTGCACAGTGGCCAGGTACACACCAGCGTATAATGCACGTAAATGCATAAAAATAACTCTGTAATAATATAAATAACGAAACCAATTCTAAGTTTGTGGAAGATCGTAAGGTGAACTGAAATAAACTTCCTCAAACAACAAGAGATGAAGGTAGTATTGCTAATTTAGTTCACATTTAAGCGATGGCATTAATAAACAGTCCTACTTATATCTTAAGAATGTTTTGTTGTTGCACGGGTCCTTCTGGAATTTTGGGCCATTATCGAATGTGCCATTTGGCTCGCTCTCATAAATCCGGCCCTGGTTCGAATTACTTGTGCAGCCCGTGTGCGTGTCAGCCACCACACGTAAGCCACGGCAAGAAAAAAAATCTACGACCTAAGCAATCCCCAGCCGGTGAACGCAATGTTAGCACGCGGCATTTTACGCCGCGTTGATTCAATGCTGAAATCGATCCTTACGCTCAGGACACGTGCATAATGTCATGCGTGTAAGAATCAATTATTTAGTACTTTCTGCCCGTCACTTCCTTCCCCTTTGCCGCTGCAGCGCCAACGTTTTGGAACAACCTTGTTTCCTCCCTTACCACTGTAAATCTTCCTTCAAAAACATATCCGGAAGCAGAATATTGATGCCAGACACAGCCACACAGAACCTTACCCGTGTATCGATAGTTACATTTTAATGTGCAATTGAATTGAGGGACTATGTGGTCTGGGACTGCTGTTGCTGTTGTTTTTCTGGCTTGCCCCCAGGCTCACATTTATTTGCCTTGACAAATCGGCAGGAATGTACGTACTTGCGTGCAATTTGTACTTGTAATTCTTCAACTTCATAAAGTTTTAGCGACTTGCTTACCTTTTCTCCAATTTTGCGCACTCATAGGTTTTTTTTGTTTCATCTGTTGTTGTAACTTGCCGACCCACCCACCCCTATTACTGGACATCTGTGATAAATAACTTCACAGTTCATCGGATTCCTCCAGGCTATATAAAGACGACGATAAAAATGTTCCCCTCCTTGTTCTGTCTCTTCCTGAATTAAAGCTTTCGTGACTACAGGAATTCATATTCTTGGGTCTTTCGGTAAAGTCATGTATATAGGTTCAAAGAAAATGACAAAAACTAAGAAAAAACTACGACGTTTCGATCGCAACACAAGCAATCGTCATCAGGAGACGACGAAGCTGCGGACGTGGCCATTGTATTGTGAGAGATGAGCGTGTCAATGTAAGTTCGCACAGCCACCGCCACATCGAGAACAGGAGCCACGGTGGCTGTGTTGGTGAGGTTAAATGTCTCACGAACACAGCCACCGTTGCTCGTTTTCCTCGATGTGGCGGTGGCTCTTCGAAACTTGCATTGACATGCTAATCTCTCACAATACAACGGCCACCTCCGCAACTTTGTCGTCGTGGAGGTAGCTCTCCGATCTTACATTTACATGCAAATTTATCACCTTAACATCACTATCCCCGCCCACTTCGCTTATGACCCTTGGGCTACACCCATTTAAAACCTTTAAAACATCCTGCCTCAGAGGCTTTCCCGCTATTTTTTCTCCTGATGAAGATTGCTTGTGTTGCGATCGAAACGTCATAAAAAAAAGTGTCAGTTTTGTTGCCAGATAAAAGGGTAAAAAACCAATTACCATATTTTGCTCCTGGCAAATGAGGTTCCAATGGTGAAACGTCGTAGTATTTTTGTAATTTTTGGTTATTTTCTTTGAACCTATCTACGTGACTTTACCGAAAGACCCAAGAATATCTGTCCCTTCCTGTTCTGCACTCTCTTCTTCACCTAGTTTTTCTGTCGTTCCCTACATCACGATTCGGGAACTAAGAGCGTTGTGCTTGTTTGGGCCATTTAACCTCGTATTGTGTACCCTGGCAGCAGTGCTTTTCCATCTTTATTGTTGTTGATGCGGATGATAATATAAATACAAGATGAAAAGAATCGATATCCTTGAGGCTCACGCAAATTATATGCTAATGGTTACATGACTGTAACGTTTAGAATAATGTGGTGAACGAGACTGTACGAATGATATGGGACAAACAAATAAAAATTGGAGGTCCTGCAAAGTGGAAATTCAATCAATCACTGGTGTGGCGGAAACATCATTGGAAATTCAATCAATCACTGGTGTGGCGGAAACATCATTGGAAATTCTATCAATCACTGGTGTGGCGGACACATTATTGGAAATTCAATCAACCACTGGTGTGGCGGACACATAATTGGAAATTCAATCAATCACTGGTGTGGCGGGGACATCATTGTAAATTCAATCAATCACAGGTGTGGCGGAAACATCATTGGAAATTCAATCAATCACTGGTGTGGCGGACACATAATTGGAAATTCAATCAATCACTGGTGTGGCGGGCACATAATTGGAAATTTAATCAATCACTGGTGTGGCGGTACCACATCATTGGAAATCAATCAATCACTGGTGTGGCAGACACATCATTGGAAATCAATCAATCACTGGTGTGGCAGGCACATCAATGTAAATTCAATCAATCACTGGTGTGGCAGGCACATCATTGGGAATTCAATCAATTACTGGTGTGGCAGACACATCATTGGGAATTCAATCAATTACTGGTGTGGCAGGCACATAATTGGAAATTCAATCAATCACTGGTGTGACAGGCACATCATTGGAAATGCAATCAATCACTGGTGTGGCAGACACATCATTGGGAATTCAATAAATTACTGGTGTGGCAGGCACATCATTGGAAATTCAATCAATCACTAGTGTGGCAGGCACATCATTGGAAATGCAATCAATCACTGGTGTGGCAGACACATCATTGTAAATTCAATCAATCTCTGGTGTGGCGTGCACATCATTGGGAATTCAATCAATTACTGGTGTGGCAGACACATCATTGGAAATTCAATCAATCACTGGTGTGGCAGACACATCATTGGAAATGCAATCAATCACTGGTGTGGCAGACACATCATTGGGAATTCAATCAATTACTGGTGTGGCAGGCACATCATTGGAAATTCAATCAATCACTGGTGTGGCGGAAATATCATTGGAAATTCAATCAATCACTGGTGTGACAGGCACATCATTGGAAATGCAATCAATCACTGGTGTGGCAGACACATCATTGGGAATTCAATCAATTACTGGTGTGGCAGGCACATCATTGGAAATTCAATCAATCACTGGTGTGGCGGAAACATCATTGGAAATTCAATCAATCACTGGTGTGGCGGGCACATCATTCCTAGTGATCATCCCCCGAAGGTGTGGCAGAAGAAATCACAACGAACTGACCTACCAAGTCAGCAAGGCGATGACGAGCAGCTACCTCCTCCGC